TTAAAAGTCGTCTATGACAACCCAATGGCTAACATAATTCTCAATGGGGAAAAAACTGAAATCTTTTACTCACAAATCAGGTAAAAGACAAGGATGTCCTCTATCACCCCTCCACTTCGATATAGTTCTGGAATCATTAGCTAGAGCCATTAGACAAGAAGGAGTAATAAAAGGAATAAGAATAGGTAATGAAGAAGTGAAACTATCATTATTTGCAGATGACATGATACTTTATTTGGAAGACCCAAAAACTCCACTAAGAAACTACTAGAATTGATAGATAAATTCAGAAGCACAGCAGGATACAAACTCAATACCCAAAAGTCAATAGCATTCCTCTACACAGATAACAAACACACTGACAGGGAAATTGGGGAAACAATACCTTTTACAATAGCCTCACGAAAAATGAAATACCTTGGAATTCATCTAACTAAAGAAATCAAAGATGTTTTCATGGAAAATTACAGTATTCTGAAAAAAGAGATTGTAGAGGATTTCAGAAAGTGGAAAAATATTCCCTGCTTCTCTATAGGAAGGATCAACATCGTTAAGATGGCCATACTTCCAAAATTGTTGTATAGATTTAATGCAATCCCTATGAGACTACCAGCAAAACACCTCCCAGACCTACAGTAATTGTTCCTAAAATTTATCTGGAAACAAAAAAGACCTAGAATAGCAAAAGCAATCCTGGCCAGCAAAGACAAAGCAGAAGGCATTACAATTCCTGACTTGAAATTATACTACAAAGCTACTGTAATAAAATCAGCATGGTATTAGCAACAAAATAGACCTGAGGATCAATGGAATAGACTAGTAGATGCAGAAGCCTCTAGGAATACACACAGCCACCTGAACTTTGACAAAGGGGCCAAACACACTTACTGGAAGAAAGATAACCTCTTTAACAAATGGCGCTGGAAAAATTGGCTCTCTACATGCCAAAAACTAAAACTTGACCCAGGTTTAACATCATGCACTAAACTAAAGTTAAAATGGATTAAAGAATTGAACATTCAGAGGACACTAACACGGAAAAAATTGGAAAACACACAGCTAAAAGCAATGAATCAACAGCTTCTAAAATAAAACAGCTGCAGAAAGATATAGAAGACCTCAGATTGGAAATGAAAAAAGAAATCCCTGAATTA